GTGGTAAGAGGGCCCTGTCTCCCTCCAGTCTTGCGACCCCTCGTAGGTCGCTGGCTAGCTATCCTCTCTAGAGCACTAACCAGCCCCATTGTAGTGTCTGTGCACTACAGCAAGGGCACCCTTCAATGAGGAGGGGGGAGGGAGCGCTGCGCACCGCGTGAGCTCACGACGTCAGCTTTAGAAGAGCACAGAGATTGAAAAGGCAAAAATAATGTGTTTTGGGGTAGGTCTCTTCAGTCCGGCAAGGGGAGAAGTTGTAGTGCACAGGCACTACAATGGGGCTGGAGTGTCTTAGAGACGATAGCTAGCTAGCGACTTACAAGGGGTCGCAACACTGGAGGAGGACAGGACCCTCCTGATAGGATAAAAGTATGAAAAACTGTCTATGAGTTAAAATGCATACTTGAAATGTGTGGAAATTGTGTGGAGACTGGGGCTGGCGATAGCGCCGGCGCCAGCGCAGGCCTCCTCCCCATAGGACCCAGGAGGCGAGCTCCCAGAGTGGGGCGAATCGAAGAGACATATTTGAAACGCTTAAGAATTGTTGTATTATGATGGAATAAAGCTATTGTGTCCGAGAAATGGGGCTATGCTAGGCGCGGTTTGTAGGCTTGCTCGAGGCGCAGGAAGCAGCGTAGTCGCAGCAGTATTCGCCGCGCACTACACTTGTACTCCTCAAAGCATCGAAATTGCACACAAGGTGTACAGGGCGTTGTATCCTCGGCAGAAGAATCCTTCTGGAGTCAATAGTTTTAGGAGCGACTTAAAGAAGCCGGACTTTTTACAGGTCGAAGATTGTCATTATCTGAGCATCTCCCTTCTGGCTGCGGTTTTCGCCCATTAACCAACGCTACAGATGCGGGCAAGACTTTGTCTCCTCTGGATGTGTTCTCTCAATAACACATACATCGTTAGCATCGGAATTTTATGTTTAAACTGTGGCTCTTTGGGTCCTGCATGATAGACGGATTTCATGCAGGGTAAAGAATAACGGAAACAATGGGGACGACGTTGGATCTAGAAGTTTATGCCAATCAATTTTCCACAGACTGTCTTTTATGTAAAACGTACACCAAAGAAAGAGGTAGGTAACCCACAAAAGTGCGCAATTTCCTGGGTGGGCGAGCGGCCAGCAAGAAGTGAACACAGGAGCAGGGTTGCATATTGGGCTTGGACGTCGTCTCAGCTTATTCGTGCGACAATTTTAATTTCTTAAGGCCACTTTTGAAGGGAAGTCATTTGATTATTCCGTAGGGATCAAGGGGCAGCTTCTGGATCATTTCAGCTTGGCAATCAAAGCGAGAAAAATTACACCCCGTCTGCTTAAAATTTTCCCGTGGCAACGACTTCACCAAGAACGACAATCAAGGCAGCGGAGCCCACTGTAGCCAATGCTGTGTAGCACACTGTCGGAAACAGCAGCAGGAGATTTGGGAACATTGGGCTGGGCCGCAAAAATTGAAAAACCCAAATATGTTGCCTTGGGTGTAGTGTACAGCGTTCCCTGCTGCTACTACGTTTTTTTCTGGAGCGCGAATAGGGCGCCCTTCTGACAAATCCTCTACATTCGACACATACCTCACAATCAATACCAAATAATCAATAACCCTCATCCTTCGAGTCTGCCAATCGGACCTTAAAAATCAAGAATCATAGTTCTGACTCCGTTGATCCGGTTGGGGCCGGTCATCGCCAGCCCCAGTTTTAGGCTATTCAAAGGCACTCCTAGTTTACACATGTAGTCTTGCTGGTAAATTGCCTTACTGCGTTGCTAGTAAGAAGTTTCTGCACTCGTTTTGCATGCTAACACATTATAGGTCACCAGCTAGCTCTGCTCTGAAAATTACCAGCAAGCGCCACCGGAGTGCCTGCGCAATATACTGGGTAGATATTTGCCGCCTCTGGCAGCTTTTACATGAATTGCAGTTGGCCTGACTGGCCAATTGCAATCTCCATGACTCCGGGGGTAGCGGCGGCGTGGCTCATAGTCTTACCGTCGGGCCATAGGGTTCCTCATATTCAAGGAGTTTTCTATTTTAAAAAGTGCGCTTACTTTCGAATGAAACTTTGTGCTTCACCGTTAGTCTCTTACCTCCAACATTCCTCTTACATACTACTGTACGGACCTAAGAAGCTCTGGTGCCAGCTGCATTGAAGTTAACAGCCTGTAACTGGAAAATGTTCAAAGCTGGTGAGGGCATTTGCTGAGTGGGCGAGCTGGAGCTCAGCCTCTTGCTGCCGGGGATAGCAGCAAAAAGTACAAACACAAAGTCTCTCAAATGGTCTTAAAATATATTTTCCTTGATTTCAAATAAAGCAGAGGATTTAGCGGCGAAGTGTTTGCCCGTGTGGGCAGCGGCGTCTCCAGGGAGGAAGTTGCTTTTTAAGTGTTTAAGGCGCAAAAACTTGGCAAAAAAGTGGCTCAAGTGTCAAAAATATCGACAGATTAATTGCAATTACACTAAAATTCTTAGAACTAGCAGAGCTGCTTCTATAAATGACATTTTCGCTCAAACTGCGGCACCTCGCGGCCCCTGAAGCCCAGGCTTAGCCCAGGCTTTAAGCTGCTGCGGCACTCAGGGGGCCCCCTGGGGGTTTTCCCCAACTTCAGCTGCTGCCACTCTAGAGCTTAGCAGCAACTAGGGCCTTGGAGGCCTCTGAGGCCTTTTGCTGCAGTGCTGCGCTGCAGCAAAAGGCCGCAAAGGCCTGCGGGCTCGCAGGCCGTTTGCTGCAGCGCGGCGCTGCAGCATGTGCTGCATAAGTGGTGTGCGGCACATACACCAGTTTCTCGGGCCATTTAAAGCCCAGGGGAGCTGCTGCTGCTGCTGCAGCTGCTGTTGGAGCAGCGGGGAGAACTGCGTGCTGCTGCACTTGGTGTGTTAAGAGTTTCTCTGGAGTTCTTTTTGCTTCAGTTGTAAAGCACAAGAAGCCTGAGTTGATGGGCCTGCTGTTTCGTCGCAGGCTTCATTGCACTAATGCGGGTTTCGGTGTGCGAGTGCTCCCCGAGGTCTGCGGGGGCTGCAGCGGGAGCAGCAGCAGCAGCAGCAGCAGCAGCAGCACATATGCAGAAGCACTGCTGAAAGCTCTTATAGACACACAGCTGATGCCGTTAAATTAGCCGCAAGAAGCTGCAGCTGCGCCCCACAACAGCAGCAACAGCAGCAGCAGCAGCACCTGCACCACGGCGCCAGTTGCTGCTGTGCAAGCTCAGAAAAGGAAGGCACCGCCGAGCACCATCCCGGGAGCTCTGTGCTGCCATTTAATCCTCATTTCGAACGGAAATTTGATTATTTAAATAAGTTTGAAAATTAGATAAATAAATTTGTGCATTCATTCGGCAGAGTCGGCGCAAATCGAACGAGAGAAGGTGGGGTGAATCACGAACCGCTCCCTCCAGCGCCTCCGTGCTTTCCTTTTTTCCTTTTCGTCGCTCTTTTCGTTTGAAGGTTCTTTTCAATTTAATTCAATTCAGTTTCTTCATCCCACTTCCTCATGCACAGACCAATGGTTAACCACTGGCCGCAAAAGGGGGCCCCGACGGCCGAAGTCGAAGCGCCCCTGGCTGCCGGCGGCGGCGGCAGCAGCAGCAGCAGCAGCAACGCCGAAGCAGCAATACCTGCTGCTGCTGACGCCACTGGCAGTAATCATACCTCTGCTGCTCGCCGTCTTTTGTTTCTCTGTCTTATCCTCTGTGCTGTCGCCTTCCCGCTATCTGCAGCAGCGGGAAAGCTGAAGCAGCTGCAGCAGACCAGGCGGGTGGTGGCGCTGGAGCAGCAAGTGCAGCACCAGGAGAAGCAGATGAGACACATGCTGCAAGAAAGCAAAACGAAACTAGAGCAGCAGCAGCAGCACCAGCAGCAGCAGCAGCACGAACTGCAGCAGGAGCTGCAGCAACGGGCAGAGCGCGTGCAGGAGCTCGAGCAAGAGTTGGAGGAGCTGCAGAAGCAGCACGAGGAAGAGCTGCAGATCCGAGAGCAGCAGCAGCAGCAGCAACAGCAGCAGCAGCAGCAGCAGCCTGAGCTTTTATTAGCCCGCCAGCTCGTGCAGCAGCTGCAGCAACAGTACCAGGAACTGCAGCACAAGCTGGTGCAGCTGCAGCAGCAGCTCAGCAGCCTCCAGAAGCAGCAAGACCAGGATAAGCTGAGCTTCGAGCTGCACTTGCATCAGCAAGAATTGCATTTGCTGCACCAAGAGCTGCACAATCAAGTGCAGCGGCAGCAGCAGCAGCTGCAGCAGCTGCAGCAGGAGTCGGAGCAGCGGAGGCAGCTGAGTCGCCAGGAGCAGCTGTGGCAGCAGCACGCGAAGCAGGAGCCGCCGCAGTGGCTGCTGCAGCAGCAAGGCCTGCTGCAGCAGCAAGGCCTGCTGCAGCAGCAAGGCCTGCTGCAGCAGCAGGGCCTGCTGCAATTCCTGCTGCAGCTGCTGCAGCAAGGTGGAAGTGACAACTTGCAGCTTGCTGCTTTGTTCATTGAGTCTCACAGTTTGCTGCAGCAGGTGCAGCAGCAGGAGCAGCACGTGCAGAGCCTCCGTTTGCGGCAGGACGAGCTGCAGGACAAGCTGCAGCAGGTGCTGCAGCAGCAGCAGCAGCAGCAGCAGCAGCAAGAGCTCCTGCAGGAGGAAAGCAGCAGCAAAATGCCTGGAGACACAGGAGAACAGCCCCAGGATTCTCCTGCTTCTCCCCGCAAGCTGCGCGCCCAGAGCCTCACGGGTAAACCCTATGTCCCAAACCCTAAACCCTAAACCCTAAACCCTAAACCCTAAGCACTGACCCGCCAACTCGAAGTCCCAAGTCAGAGTGTCTTCTTTGCTGCTGAAGAGGTGGTTTGGGTTTTGCGTTTGCTCAGCTAAGCCGTCGCTCAGTGTAGCAGGAGTTTGCAATCTAGGGTTTAGGGTTTAGGGTTTAGGGTTTAGGGTTTAGGGTTTAGGGTTTAGGGTTTGGGGTTTGACTGTGCAGGCGAGATTGTTGTGAGGGCCGATGAAACAATGTGCGCGTGGATGTTTGACACTCTGTTGTCGCACTTTGGCGTAAGGCTGCGAGGTTTGAGGGTTTAGGGTTTTCTGAGGGTTTAAAGCTTACGACTTGCTTCGAGGGTTTAGGGTTTAGGGTTTAGGGTTTAGGGTTTCGGCGCTGGAGGAACTTTCTCCCCGTGAAGTCTTCTGCGCTTCTTCCCTCTGCAGACGTGGCGTTTAGGGTTTAGTGTGTGGGTTTCGCCCGCGGGCTTCGGGCGAGGGTTTAGGGTTTAGGGTTTAGGGTTTAGGGTTTAGGGTTTAGGGTTTAGGGTTTAGGGTTTTGCGGGCAGCTGTCGCGGACTCCGCCGTCGCCGCCGGACTCGGTGTTGGCGCTGCTGGAACAAGGTGTAAGTACACCTGCTTTTGTGTCTTGGAAAAAAAAAGACAAAAAAAAAGATTTTTCAGAAGCAGATTTGGAGCTGAGAGGATGCATTGGCTCCCTCAAACCCTTGCCCATAATGGAACTCAGTGAGGGTTTAGGGTTTAGGGTTTAGGGTTTAGGGTTTGGGGTTTAGGGGGAGGGTCTGGGGTCTGGGTCTGGGGTCTGGGTCTGGTGCGCTGGCTCCCTCAAACCCTCGCCCATTGTGGAACTTAGTGAGGGTTTAGGGTTTAGGGTTTAGGGTTTTGGGGTTTAGGGTTTAGGGTCTAGTGCGTTGGCTCTCTCAATACCTTGCTCATTAGGGTTTAGGGAGCGGCGAGACGCATTGCTAGGGTTTAGGGTTTGTGCGTTTTACTTCGCGGCCAAGGGTTTGAGGCTTATTTTCCAAGGCTTTTTCCTCAGGATTTAGGGTTTAGGGTTTAGGGTTTAGGGTTTAGGGTTTGCGGTTTGGGTGTGCAGAGGACTATGCGCTAATTAGCGCTCTGCAAGACTCCCGGTTTGACCCAATCACTCCGGAAGAAATCCCAGATCTCGTTTGCCAGGTTTCCTTGCTTCACAGCTTCGAGGTTAGGGTTTAGGGTTTAGGGTTTAGGGTTTAGGGTTTAGGGTTTAGGGTTTAGGGTTTGGTTGAAGGCGGGACTGGGGCTTCCGGACTCTGAAAGGCAGCAAGGAGCTTCCATTTAGCTCGCTGGGGTTTAGGGCTGCGAGCTGAGGATTCGCAGTTTCGCGTTTAGGGTTTAGGGTTTAGGGTTTAGGGTTTAGGGTTTAGGGTTTAGGGTTTGTGCTGCAGCCGGGAGTGGACGCCTATGACTGGGAAATTGGCGTCCACGGCATCACCATTAAATTCACTGTGCCGGGACCGAGGTGATCCTAAACCCTAATCAGTGCTAGGGTTTTTAAATCTGCAAAACCCTAAAACACTATTTTGTAAACCCTTCGAGTCCCATCTCCAAACCCTAGTGGCAGCAAACCCTAGCAAGCAGCGCTGAAACCCTAAACCCTCGGATCTGGGAAAGATGCTGTTTCTGCGCTGGTTTCCACAACAGCTGAAGCTCTGCCCAGATCCTGGGGATTAGGGTTTAGGGTTTAGGGTTTAGGGTTTAGGGTTTGTGCATGGACGAAGCTCTAAAAGTCACCTTCTAGGGTTTAGGGTTTAGGGTTTTGGCGCAGGGGCCGGACTTACCAGGCGACCTACTTGCCGGAAGTGGCAGCGGAGATGAACATGAGCAAGGAAGAAACGATTGTTTCGCTGGTACGAGGGTTTAGGGTTTAGGGTTTAGGGTTTAGGGTTTAGGGTTTAGGGTTTAGTGCTCGTCCCTCTCGTCGAAGCGAAACCCTCGTTTGCATCGGCGGAGTGCATGCAGATACTGTGCTTGGGAGGTTGGGGGCAGTGCAACCAGCCGGGGTAGGGTTTAGGGTTTAGGGTTTAGGGTTTAGGGTTTAGGTTTAGGGTTTGCGCGAAGGTGCGGAAGGCGGGCTACACGCGAAGCCCCATAGACGCAGACTTGATAGCTAGCATTTCTTTGGAGCGCTACAAGTCCTCTCGGGCGCAGCTGGACTACAGGAGTTACGTGGAGAAATATGTGAAAGAGGACGAAGAAATGGTGGTTTAGGGTTTAGGGTTTAGGGTTTAGGGTTTAGGGTATGGGGTTTGGGCCTGCGCACGCCGCCGCCGCCGCCAGCCGCTGAAACAGAGCCTTCCAGCGCAAACGCACGCAGCCTTTGAGGTGTACGTACACCTGGACGCAACTGAGGTGTACGTACACCTGGATGCAACTGGGGTGTACGTACACCTGGCTGGAGTTGAGGTGTACGTACACCTGGCTGGAGTTGAGGTGTACGTACACCTGGCTGGAGTTGAGGCGTAGGTGCAGCTGGGTGGCGCTGCGGTGTACGTACACCTGGGGGAAGCTGAGGTGTACGTACAGCTGGCGGGCGCTGCGGTGTACGTACAGCTGGGCGGGCCTGGGGTGTACGTACACTGCGTGCTGCCAGCGTGTGCATGCGGCAGGAAAGGAGCCTTTGCGAGTTTAGATAATCTGCGCCTGTCCCTCGGGCCTGCAGATAATGAAGAGAAATAAAAAGCAAAAGAATGGACGCAGTGCATGCGCATGCATGCGCATGCAGGCGCATGCATGCGCATGCAGGTGTGTCTGCGCGAGTGTACGTACACCCGAATGCATGCGCATGCGCGCCCGGAGTGTCAGCAACGAAGGATTTGCATTTGCTGCTGCTGCGGTGTACGTGCATGCGGGGACTAAGATAAATAAAAATGAAATAAATGTTTATACTTTGTTTTGCTGCACTAATAGCGCATGCGGATCTGCAAAAAGGAACTTTAATGCAGCTATTTGGACTTTTGCATGCATGCACTGTTTGGAAGAAATGAAATGGGGAAAGTGGCCGACTCCGCACTAGCTTGCTGCAGCGTGCATGCAGTGTACGTACACCCGAACTGAGCACCTGTTCTGCGGCATGCATGCAGTGTACATACACCCGAACTGAGCCTGTACAGCGAACTGTCTTCGCAAATTCAGAGTTTGTTCTTGTTTGAAATCCCCGGGTCTTCATTTTGTGCTTTTGAATGCATTTCAATCCAAATTCTGTCTTGACTTTGGTATTTTTCCTGCTGCCGTGCATGCGGAGAGTCTTGCTGCTGCTGCTGCTGCTGCTGCTGCAGCAGCGGCAAGAGTTTTCTTTGCTTCCCCTCTCTCCACCTGCTGCTGCGCATGCACTGCGGTGTACGTACACCCCGTGCGCACAGCGCATGCACGGCACTTGCCGCAACTTTTGAAGTTTTTGAAATATGCACTTTTGCACTTCTCCAAAAAGACATTATTTGTGACTTTTTGCGATTTTCGAGAAATCAAAAGTTTGTTTGCTTCCACTTTTTCCAAGTGCAAAAGCCCCACTTGCATGCGTTGCTGCAGATCTCTTTATTCTTCATTTTGTTCGTTTTATTTTCCATTTTCTTCATTTTTATTTTCTTCAAAAAGTGCTGCAGCAAAGTGCTTTAGTGCTGCTGGTGTACGTACACCTCGGCCCGCCCTTTCCAAACTTGCCCAACGCAGCTTCGCTTTGGCACTTTATATAATCTTTGCCATTTCAAACACTCAGAGTCTTTGCTGGTGTTGCTGCTGCTGTTGCTGCTGCTGTTGCTGCTGCTGCTGCTGCTGTCGCTGCAGTTGGCTGCTGTTGTTGGCTGCTGTTCGCTGCTGTTGCTGCTGCTGTCGCTGCTCTTCGCTGCTGTTGCTGATGCTGTGGCTGCTGTTGCTGCTGGTGCGGCTGCTGTTGGTTGCTCTTGCTGCTGCTGCGGATGCTGTTGGCTGCTGCTGCTGCACCTGCTATTTGCTGCTGTTGCTAGTGCTGCAGCTGCTGCTGCTGCTGTTGCAGCGAGCCTCTTTTAGCTCCGGAGGGCTAGGGCGAAAGCTCTTCAAGCTGCTGGCAGCCACAGCTGCAGCAGCAGGTGTGGCCTACAACAGCAGCAGCAGCAGCAGCAGCAACGGCAGCAGCAGCAGCAGCAACGGCAGCAGCAGCAAGGCTCTAGTTGCAGCTAACTCGACCCAAAACCCAATTCAAATCCCGCCATAAGTTCAAAAAAAAGTGCTGTTGCAGCAGCAACGTTAGAGCTGCAGCAGCAGCAGCGGTGGTTGCTGCAGCGTTTGCTGCAGTAGCAGCGGGTGCTGCTGCTGCCACTTCCGGACTCGGAGCAGCAGCAGCAGCTGCTGCTGCTACTCTGTCACATTTGAAGCAAACAGACATATGTCTCAGCAGCAGCAGCAGCAGCGCTGCAGCTTCTGCTGCTGCTGCTGCTGCTGTCGGTGTTGGTTTACGAGTTGGGCGCAGCGTGTACTGCTGCGGCTGCTTCTGGGTTTGCTGCTGCAGCTGCCGGCGCTGCTGCTGCTGTTGCTGCTGCTGCTGCTGCTGCTGCTTTCGCTTCAGCTATTGCTCTGTCAAATATTAATTTTATTTCTCTGCATTTGCAGTGACGCAAAAGAGCTTCTTGCATGCGCTGCTCCACCGTTTGCGCAAGCACCAAGAAAGCCTCCTGCAGCAAAAAAAGGGTTTAGGGTTTAGGGTTTAGGGTTTAGGGTTTAGGGTTTGGAGCTGCTGCGCCGCGGCTGCCGCCCCTGGGCCGTGCTTCGGGCGGCCAGGGCTCACGGCGTGCTCGCACTGCACCGGAACCCTAGACGTTAGGGTTTAGGGTTTAGGGTTTAGGGTTTAGGGTTTAGGGTTTAGGGTTTACTTGGAGCTGCACTGTCTTATTCCATTCCTTCTCATATAGTCGAGCTATGCGCGCTCTTGCATTTGTTAAACTTGTGCGCAAGTTTTCTTCAGACTGCAGGCACAAACCCTAAACCCTAAACCCTAAACCCTAAACCCTAAACCCTAAACCCTAAACCCTAGCCCTAACCCTGGGTGTGAGGGCCCCAAAAGGCGCTGAGAGCTGCAGCAAACGGCGCCGTTTGTCCAAACCCTCCAAACCCTAAACCCTAAACCCTAAACCCTACAAACCCTGACCCTTCTGGGCCAACCCCAAGCGCCAAACCCTAAACCCTCAAAACCCCAAGACCTAAACCCTCCAAACCCCAAACCCTAAACCCTTAAAACCCTAAACCCTACTTGTGGCCGCTCATTGAGCTCCGCCTGCTGCTCCTCCGTGTCTTCCCCGCTGGCGAGGCGCTGCAGCAGCTGCTGCACTTCCAAAACCCTCGCATTCTGTCGCTTCCTGCAGCAGCAGCAGCAGCAGCAACAGCAGCAGCAACAGCAGCAATAGCAGCAGCAGCAGCAGCAGCAGCAGCAGCAAGATTAAGACCAGCACGGCCACGGCGCGCCACGGACAGCTCCCAGGGCCCAGGGCTCGGCTGCTGCTGCCCCAGCACGAGGGTTTAGGGTTTAGGGTTTAGGGTTTAGGGTTTAGGGTTTACCTGCTGTCTTGGGCGTCTCTGATGGTGAGAGTGCAGTCATTGGCAAGTGTGAGGGTTCGGTGCAGCTGCTGCTTAAAAGCTGTGTCTTCTGGTGCTGCTGGAATTGCTGCTGCTGCTGCTGCTGCTGTTGCAGCATCTGCAGCAGAAGGATAGTGCAGCCGGTACCCATCCAGTGTCTGGGGGCCCTTCACCTGCAGCAGCAGCAGCAGCAGCAACAGCAGCAGCAACAGCAGCAGCAGCAGCCACGCATGAGCATGAGCAGCAGCAGCGACTGCTGCAGCAGCATAAACTGCTACGGACGCTATGCGAGATGCTGCTGCGCCGCACCTTTTCAAACCCTAAACCCTAAACCCTAAACCCTAAACCCTAAACCCTTTGCGCTGGCAGCGTCTTAGAGAGCAGCATTTTGGGGACGGAACTCTCACCGATCTGCCCTCGGGTGCATCTGCGGCTTTGTGGCTGAGGCGCTGCTGCTGCTGCTGCTGCTGCTGCTGCTGCTGCTGCTGCAGCATGAGCTGCTTGGGGACCTGCGGCAGCTGCACATCCTGTCCAGCCAAAACCCTCATAAGAGCTTCGCAGATTTCGGGGCCCCCAAAAGTGTCTCTTTGTTTGAGGATTTCGAGAACTCTTTTGAATTCATCCAGTCCATTTGCTGCTGCTCCTGCTGCTGCTGCTGCTGCTGCTGCTGCTGCTGCTGCTGCGCAGAGGCTCCGCAGCGGGTCCAGGCACAGCTGCAGCAAAAACGGGGCCCCACAGCTGCAGCAGCGCTGCAGCACATCGTTGACCACGTACAGCAGCAGCACGAGCTGCCCCGAGCCTGCTGCTGCTGCTGCTGCTGCTCCGCCCCCAGCAGCAGCAGCAGCAGCAGCAGCAGCAGCCTGGATCTGCGCCTTCAGAGCAGCAAGACAGTGGTAAACTGCTGGCGAATGTGCTGCATGCACGAGAGCAGCAGAAAGCCCCTGAATGGATGCGCTGCTGCTGTCTATACACCCCAAACCCCCCTCGAAGGCCCGCAGCGCAGCAAAACCCTCAGCAGATAAAGCAGCAGCAGGAGCGAAGGGGGGGGCCCCCGGGGGGAGCCTGTGGGCGTCCCACATTTCGAGGGTTTAGGGTTTAGGGTTTAGGGTTTAGGGTTTGGGTTTAGGGCCGGCCGCGCAAGACCTCTGCGCCGCATTGAGACGAACTCCGAGGACCCAACGGCCACGCCAGGCCATGTCCTCTCTGCGCAAACATGTAGGGCTGCGGACGAGGGTTTAGGGTTTAGGGTTTAGGGTTTAGGGTTTAGGGTTTAGGGACCGCGGCGGCGCCCTGCAGGGCGACCTGCAAAAACCCCTCAACTTCTTTGCTGCTGAGAAGACAAAACAAAATAAAAGCTGCTGCGCTAAAGCTCGCGGGCTGAAGCAGCAAAAAGCCCCAAAAGTGCATGCAGCGGATGTGTCAGTGCCGGTGGCCCGCAGCAGCAGCAGCAGCAGCCGCTGCTGCTGCTGCGGTGTCTGTACGCCTCAACCAAGACTCTATTGCTTTCTTCAATCTTAAGGGCTAGTGCGTTCGCTCATCCTCTTTGCAGCAGCAGCAGCGAGTCCACCGCCGAGTCAGACACACAGCAGCAGCAGCAGCAGCAGCAGCAGCAGCAAGCGCTGCAACAGTAGCAGCAGCAGCAGCAGCAGCACTGCGAACTCACCCCTGCAAACGGCGCTATTTCTGCGCAGCGACTGTCCTGCTGTCTATCTGTGTGCCTTTTTTGCCTAGAGGCCCTGCTGCCAGCAGTAGCTGCAGCAGCAGCGGCGGCAGCAGCAGCAGCAGCGGCAGCACAGCAGCAGCAGCAAACTCACCGCAGCAGCAGCAGATGGCCCGAAAATCTCGTCTCCAGCGGGACCAGGGCTTTGTATGTGCGTGCACAGGCACTGCACCGCAAACCCTAAACCCTAAACCCTAAACCCTAAACCCTAGGCCTTCGGAGAGCTCAGGGCAACCGGGTCTGCTGCTCAATGCCGCCCGTGCTGCAGCTGCAGCAGCAAGAGCTGCTGCACCTCCACAGAGTCCCGTGTATGCCGCAGCAGCAGCAGCAGCAGCAGCAGCAGCACCAAGCAGAAGGGAGCCCTCCTGGCACGCCAGTGGGGCAGCAGCAGCAGCAGAGGCAGCAGCAGCAGCAGCAGCAGCAGCAGCACCGGCAACAGCACAGAAGCCCCACACCGAAAGGCCACAAGTCACACAAGCAGCACCCGCCCGCTGCTGCACTGCAGCAGCAGCAGCAGCAGCCCAAACGGGAGCAGCAACTTGGACAGGAGCAGCAGCAGCAGAAGCAGCAGCAGCAGCACTGCGAACCCGCAACGTGCGGAGACTCGCCGCGCTACTTTGTTGGTAAAGCAGCTGCTGCTGCAGCACCTGCTGCAGCCGACGTTGCAGCTGCTGCAGCAGCAACTGCAGCAGCAACCGTCCAGACCCTCGCTGCTGCTGCTGCGCGCCGCAGCCAGCAGCAGCAGCAGCAGCAGCAGCAAAATGGGAGCCATAAGGCGCCACCGCTGCTGGCTTCAGCTTCAACAGCAAATGAGTCTCCTTTGTCTGCAGCAGCAGCAGCAGCAGCAGGCGTAGCAGCAGACTTCACAGCAACAGCGGCAGCAGCACCGCAAAGCCGCGTTGCTGCTGCTTTTTGTCCGCTGCCAAATGTCGCTGCTGCTGCTGCAACTCCCCGAGCAGGCGACGGCGCTGCTGTTCTCCGCACGCTGCAGCAGCAGCAGCAGCAGCAGCAGCAGCGGCAGCAGCAGCAGCATTTGCTGCTGCCTGAGGAGCGCTTGCTGGCGGACTCGGACTCTCAGGAGCGCTGCCGCAGCGGCAGCAGCAGCAGCAGCAGCAGCGGCATGAGCAGCAGAAGCAGCAGCAGCAGCTACCTGCCCGAGCTGTGGCAGGACAGCCGCGTGAACCGCCGCAGCAGCATCAGCAGCAGCAGCAGCAGCAGCCTTGTGGGGGCTTTGGCGAAGCTGCTGCGGGAAGAAGCTGGGGACCGCCACAGCAGCAGCAAATGTCTTTCTGGGGAGAGCGACGACGAGTTGCTGCTGCTGCAGCCGCCGCAGCAGCAGCAGCAGGGGGCCCCCGGCGTGGCTGCGCAGCAGCAGCAGCAGCAGGAGCAGCAGCAGCAGCTGCGGCAGCGGGAGAGTCGTCCCGTCGGCAGGCGCTTCTTCTACGGCTTGCTGCTGCTGCTGCTGCTGCTGCTGACGGGGGCTTTGCTGCTGGGCACTTTATATCACCGCAGCAAATTGGTGCGGCTGCGGCCGCGGGATTTGCTGCGGCTGCAGCTGGCGACCTTTCGGCAGCTGCAGCAGCAGCTGCTGCAGCAGCAGCAGCAGCAGCAGCCGCAGCACCCCCTGCCGCTCTGCTGGCACCACCCGCAGCAGCTCTTCGAGCTGCAGCAGCAGCTGCTGCTCCTCCAGCCCTCCAAAGAAGCAGCAGCAGCTTTTGCAGAAGCAGCAGCAGCAGCAACAGCAGGGGTCGACGCGACGCAGTCTGCTGCACTCTCTTCTGAGGCTGCCATGGTCATGATGCACACGCTGCAGCAGCAGCAGCAGCAGCAGCAGCAGCAGCAGCAGCTGGGCGAAGCTGACGTGTGCTGCAGCAGCGATGGCAGCGCTGCGCCAGCAGCAGCAGCAGCTGCTGCTGCTGCTGCTGCTTCCCCCAGAGAATTCGTAGCGAAGCTGTTCCAGTCCTCTCAAGCAGCTCTGCTGTCAGACAGCAGCAGCAGCAGCAGCAGCAGCACGACGTGCAGCCGCAGCAGCAGCATTTTGACTCCCTTTGGTTCTGGGCCTCAAACTAGCAGCAGCAGCAGCAGCAGCAGCAATAGCAGCAGCAGCAGCAATTGTTCCCTGCCACCCTTTCCGAGAGGTGCTTGGTTCTTTGCCCGCGCTGCTGCAGCAAAGCGACTCAAGTCGTTTATACCTGCTGCTGCTGCTGCTGCTGCTGGGAGTAGTGCTGCAGCTGCTGCTGCTCCAGCGGCCACAGTGCTGGTGTGTGCAGAAGAAGACTTCGGCTCGCTTGCTGCTGCTGCTGCAGCGCACGCAGCAGCAGCAGCTGCTGCTGCAGGCAGCTGGCTGAAAGCGGGCGCGAGCAGACTGAAGGCAGCAGCACTTTCTGCAGCAAATGCGACCATCAGGACAGCAGCGCGAGTTCGGAAGCAGCAGCAAGCTGCTGCTGCTGCTGTTCAAGCAACAGCAGCGAAGCTGCTCGGGCTGCCGTCGCCGGCAGCAGCAACAGCAGCAGCAGCAGCAACAGCAGCAGATTCTCCAGCTACGTGCGCCGCCCCGCCGGGAGACTGCATGCAGTGCAGCTGCCTGAAGCCGTCAGAGCAGCAGCTGCAGCAGCAGCAGCAGCAGCAGCAGCAGCAGCAGCAGCAGGGCGAGCAGTTCAGCTGGACCGACGTCGACGTCAGCGACCACGTGCTGCTCTATGTCTTGGCTTTGCTCATTGCTGCTGTCGAGGTCTCAGCAGCTTTTGCTTCCCACCCTCCCGCTGCTGCTGCTGCGGGCGCCGACAGCAGCAGCAGCAGCAGCAGCAGCAGCAGCAGCCGCTGGCGCCAGTTCCCCTCCCTCTCCCGCCTGGCCCCCTACATTTGTGCTGCTTACTATGCCTTCATTTGCTGCTGCTGCTTCCTCATGGCTGTCATGACTGCTTGCTTCTTCCACACCCCTGCGGAGGTCTGGATTGCTTTTGCTGCTGCGCTGCTGCTGCTGCTGCTCCCCGTGCTGCTGCTGCTCGAGGTTGCAGAGATGCCCAGCCTGCACAGAATTGGGGTTTTGCGCAACTGCAGCTGCCCCGACCAGCCCCACCACCAGCACCAGCAGCAGCAGCAGCAGCAGCAGCAGCAGCAGCAGCAGCAGTACCAGCAGCAGCAGCAGATGAGCCCCCGCGCGCCCCCGTAGATGCTCGAGCAGCATTTGCTGCTGCCGCTGCTGCTGCTACGAGCAGCAGCAGCAGCGCCAGCAGCACAAGCACCTGCGCGTTTTGTCCGTCGTCGGTGCGGCTGCTGCTGCTGCAGCAGCAGCAGCAGCTGCAGTTGCTGCGACTGGAGCAGCAAATGCATTGCAGCAGCAATGCAGCAGCTCTATCGCTGCGTTGTGTTTTTGTAAAAAACGAATTGTTGCTTCTCACCAACTTGAAATCACTCTAAACCGCTTAAGACGGCTGCAGCAGAGGCAGGGTTTAGGGTTTAGGGTTTAGGGTTTAGGGTTTAGAAGGACGGGCGCATGGCGGTGTGCGCTGCACGTGTTAGGGTTTAGGGTTTAGAAAGGCGAAGGCTAGGGTTTAGGGTTTAGGGTTTAGAAAGGCGAGGGATGGCGGGGTACGATGCACATGCTAGGGTTTAGGGTCTAGGCTTTAGAAGGACGAAAGTTAGGGTTTAGGGTTTAGGGTTTAGGGTTTAGGGTTCGACTGCATACACATGCGCAGCAGGCATTCAGGTGCACAGGGAGGGGTTTCCCGCTGCTGAGGGTTTAGGGTTTAGGGTTTAGGGTTTAGGGTTTACAGCTCCTATCCTTGATCTAGTTCTGAAGGTTTAGGGTTTAGGGTTTAGGGTTTACAGCTCTTATCCCTGATGTAGTTCTGGAGGTTTAGGGTTTAGCGTTTAGGGTTTAGGGTTTAGGGTTTACAGCTTTTATCCTTGGATTACTTCTGCAGGTTTATTTTTCTTCTTGAGGGTTTATCCCCCTTGCAATTTCCCTCTTGGTGTTCCCTTTATTTATTTATTTATTTATTTATTTATTCGTTTAATTAATTAATTAATTAATTAATTAATTAATTAATTAATTAATTAATTAATTAATTTATTTATGTATGTATTTATTTATTTATTTATTTTCGCCGAAGTCCTTTCGAGTGTACGTACACCTCAGCGTCAGTTGCAGGATCTGAAAACGTCGAATCGAAGCGGAATTCATTTCAATTCTTTTTCTCTTTTTGAATTTAATTTTCTTTTTCTTTTTTTTGAGTTAATTTTATTTTCTTTTTTCATTTTATTTGTCTTTTGGCTGCTGCTCAGAGCGAAGAAATGAGGCTGCTGGGGTTTGACTATTTTGCTGCTGCTGCTGATTTAATTAATTTGCTTCTCGCCCTTTAAATTTGGCTTCGTGGCCAGCGAGGCAAAAGCGCAGCAGCAGCAGCAGCAGCAGCAACAGCAGCAGCAGCAGCAGCAACAGCAGCAGCAGCAGCGAGAGATCACTTGTGGCACTTTAAAGGATCTGAATTCGGGAGAAAAAAAATAAAAGCAAAAATGCAAAAAGACAATTTTAATGAACTAAATATTCATGAACTTTGCTGCTCCGCGAGACTCTGCTGCTGCTGCTGCAGCAGAAACTGTGCTGCTGCTGCTGCGCGGAGCTCAGGTGTACATACACCTCAACTCAAACAACAAATTACTTTTCTTTATTTTTATTTTTATTTATTTTTTCCTGAAACTTTCTGGAAGCCTCAGTGCCGGGCGAGGAGGCGCTCTAGCCCCTGAGGGGCCCCACTGCTGCTGCTGCTGCTGCTGCTGCTGCTGCTGCTGCTGCTGCTGCTGCTGCTGCTGGCTCTGCGACAGAAGAGCAGCAGCAGCAGCGGCGGCTGCATTCACCGCTGTTTGTCTTTGGAGTTGTTTTTAAATACTTTTAAACTTTTCCGCATTTTTGAAAAGCTGCTGCTGCAGCGTGTGGGGCCGGGGGGCTTTTGGCGGGCACTTGGTGTAGTGTGTCTCGATTTCTAGAGGCTTTTTCTCAGCAGCAGCAGCAGCAGCAGCAGCAGCAGCAGCAGCAGCGGCAGCAGCGGCAGCAGCAGCAAGAGCGGTCGCAAGAGCATCGCCCCCAGCAGCTGCAGCAGGCGTTGCTGCTGCAGCGCAGCAGCAGCTCGGCCCGCACGGTCATTGGCAGCAGCAGCAGCAGCAGCAGCAGTTGCTGCTGCTGCTCCGACTCCGCAGCAGCAAATGGCGAGACGCAAACACGGGAAAGGGGGCCCAGGGGGGCAGCTGTCGGGGGCCCCAGAGGAAGCAGCAGCAGCAGCAACAGCAGCCGCAGCAGCAGCAGACACAGCAGCAGAAGCAGCAGCAGAAGCTGCAGAAACAGAAAATGCTGCTGCTCTCCACGCTGCAGATAACGCAGCAGGACCTGCCGGCGCAGCAGCAGCACCTGCAGGCACAGCAGCAGCAGCAGCAGCAGAATCAGCAGAGGAGGCAATAGCAGCAGCAGCAGCAATACACGGAGGAACGAAAGCAAACGAAGCAGCAGACGCAGCAGCAGATGCAGCAGCAGATGCAGGTGCAGCAGCAGCAGCAGCAGCAGCAGAAGCGGCTTCTGGGCCTCACAGCTCGCCGCTGGTACCATTTGAAGGGGACGCGCAGCAGCAGCAGCAGCAGCAACAGCAGCAGCAGCAGCAACAGAAGCAACAGCAGCAGGTCAGTCATGAGCCCGAGCCGCTGGATATCGAGAAGCAGCAGCAACAGAAGCCTCAGCGCGAAGAGAAGCAGCAGCAGCAGCAGCAGCAGCACCAGGAGCAGCAGCAGCAGCAACAGCAGCAGCAGGAGCAAGAGGAGCAACCACACCAACGGCAGCAGCAGCAGGACCAGGAGGAAAAGCGAGCTCACTTGGAGCAGCAGCAGCAGCAGGAACAGCAAGAGCCGCAGCAGCAGCAGCAGCAAGTGGAGCAGCAACGCCAAGAAGAAGTGCAGCAAACAGAGCAGCAGCAGCAGGATCAGCAGCACAAACAGAGTCAGCAGCAGCAAGCGCAACAGCAGGGCGGACAAGAGAAGCCGCAGCAGCAGCAAGAAGAGCAGCAGCAGCACGAGCAGCAGCAAAAGAATGAACAGGAGCAGCAGCGGGAGCAGCAACAGGAGCAACCGCAGCAGCACCACGAGCAACCGCAGCAGCAACAGGAAGCGCAAGAGCAGCAGCAGCAGCAGCAGCAGCAGCAGCAGCAGCACGAGAACGTGACAAAAGGTGCGGCGGAGCAGCAGACTGAGAAGCAGGCAGCTGACAAAACAGAAGCAGCAGCAGCAGCAGCAGCGGCAGCAGCAGCAGCAAAGGCGCAACACAAAGAGAACGAGGACACAGCAGCAGCTCCAGAAGCAGCTGCAGCAGCAGCAGCAGCAGCTGCTGCTGCTGCTGCAGCAGAGATACACCAAGACCCCTCAGGCGTCTCCATGTCTTCCAAAGACATCCAGGGGGATAAGGCGCCGTCCCAGACCAGCAGCAGCAGCAGCAGCAGCAGCAGCAGCAGCAGCAGCAGCAGCAGCAAGGTGCCGCCCCCAGTAGTGCCTGTCAGCGAGGCTGTGGGCTCGCTTGCTGCTGCCTCGTCACTTCCAACTGCAGCAGCAGCACCAGCAGCAGAGGCAGCAGCAGCAGGACCAACAGCAGAGATAGCAGCAGCAGCACCGAAAGCAGAGGAAGCAGCAGCAAGGCCAGCAGCAGAAGCAGCAGCAATGCCAGCAGCAGCAGCGGCAGCAGCAGCAGCAGCATCCCCGCGAGCAGCATCTTTGTCTTCCCAGCCAGAAACCGCAGCAGCAACACCTGTGCCAGAAACAGACGCAGCAACCCCAGCAGCAGCAGCAGCAGCAACCCCAGCAGCAGCAGCAGCAACCCCAGCAGCAGCAGCAGCAGCAGCAGCAGCAGAAGAGTGGTTTCCCATCAAAACAATAAATGCTTTTGGGGCCCCCAGACGCATTTTGCTGCAGGCAAATAATGGGGCCTGTCCGCTGCTGGCCATTGCGAATTGCCTCATACTTAAGGGGCAGCTGGAGCTGCGCGTGCAGCAGCAGCAGCAGCAGCAGCAGCACGAGCTGCAGCAGGAGCGAATCAGCAGCAGCGAGCTGCTGCAGCTGCTCTCGGAACTGCTGCTGCTGCAGGACACCCCAGGGGCTGAAGACCCAGAGGCTCACGCCTACACAATTGGCGATGCAAGTAGTGTTGCTGCTGCTGCTGCTGCTGTTGCTGCTGCTGCTGCTGTTGCTGCTGCTGCTGCTGCTGCTGCTGCTGTTTGTCCGTGTGGGTGCATCCCTGCTTGTTTGCTGCTGCCTCGCGTCCTGTGAGTGCTGCACACATGCCGCGGCTTTCCTCTCTGTCTTCCTCGCGGCCGCGCTCACCGCCTCCGCTGCTGCTGCTGCTGCTGCTGCTGCTGCTGCTGCTGCTGCTGCTGCAGGCAGTGGACCTGCTGCCGTCGCTGCTGCAGGGCCTGGACCTCAACGTGCACTTCAAGTCCATCGACGCCTTCGAATTCACTCGCGCAGTTTCTCTCTTCGACGCTTTTGGAGTTCGTCTTGTCCACGGCTGGCGGCCCGACAAAGGTGCTGCGCACTTTGCTGCTGCTGCTGCTGCTGCTGCTGCTGCTGCTGCTGCTGCTGCTGCTGGGGGCGCGCCCGCGGCGGGAGCTGCGGCGGGAGCCGCGGCGGGGAAGAGGCTTGACGGGCCGCTCGAGGACGAAGGCGGCGATCCGCAGCAGCAGCAGCAGCAGCAGCAGCGGGAAACGGGAGATAGCAGCAGCAGCAGCAGCAGCAGCAGCGGGGCGTGCCGCTGCAGCGCGTGCCTGCTGGAGAAGCTGAGCTACAACCAGCTGGCGGAGAGGTTTGCGGTGTACAGACAGCTCGTTGAAGACATGCAGAAAACTGAGGACGGGATGTTCCTGCTGCAGCTGCTGCAGCAGGGGGAGCTGCAGCAGGAGCAGCTGCAGGACATTCTGCAGCAGCAGCACGACGTGAGGCAGCAGGAGCTGCAGCAGCAGCAGCGAGAGCACCCCCAGCAGCAGCAGCAGCAGCAGCAGCAGCAGCAGCAGCAGGAGAGCGTGCAGCACACCTGGGACGCAGCAGCAAGAGCTGCGCTGCTGATGGAAGGCAAACACTACGAGAAGTTTCTGCTGCTGTCTTCTTCCCAGCTGACAGCAACGGGGCTAAAGGAGCTGTGTCTGGGCTACACGCCAGCAGCAGCAGCAGCAACAGCAGCAGCAGCAGCAGCAGCAGCAGCAGCACCAACTGTTGCGCTGCCCCTCTATGTCCCCTGCGTCCTCTTCCGCAACAATCACTTCTCAGTGATTGTGCGGCAGCCGCTGCCGAGCTGCCAGCAGAAGCTGCAGCAGCAGCTGGAGCAGCAGCAGCAGGAAGACGTGCTGCAGGAGCAGCAGCAGCAGCAGCAGCAGCAGCAGCAGCAGCAGCAGCAGGAGTGCGCCATTTACTGCCTCTGCACAGATGCTGCCTTTTCTGATGAGCCCCAAATCGCTTGGGAAATTCTCATTGATGTAAAAGGAGATAATTTATTTTGTAATGACAAATTCGTGCCTCTGCAATATACCCAAGTCAGACCCTGCTGCTGCTGCTGCTGCTGCTGCTGCTGCTGCTGCTGCTGCTGTGGCTGCTGCAGCGGCTGCTCTGCTGCCTGTTTCGGGGTGGTGCTGCGTGCTTCTGCTTCCCCGCGTTCCCGTCCCCTGCTGCTGAGTGCGGTTGTTTGCTGCTGTTGCTGCTGCTGCTTTTGTTGCTGCTGCTGCTGCTGCTGCATTGCCAGTGCTGCTTCTGTTGCGGCTGCTGCAGGAAGGGGAGAGCAGCAGCTGCTCCAGTGCTGCTTCACTCGGCGGCGCTCTGCAGCAGCAGCAAGTAGGTGCAGCAGCGGCAGCAGCTGCTTTCTACAATAATAATTATTATAATTAGTTTTATTACTGTTTCTTTGTCTCTTATTGCATGCATTCATCGTTTGCTGCGCAACAAACACCTTTGCTGCTGCTGCTGCTGCTGTCGCCTTCGCTGTTGCTGCTGCAGTTGGCAAGTGCCAGGATGCAGGGACCAGGCAGCCGACAGCAGCAGCAGATCCAGCAGCAGCAGCAGCGGCGGCGCTGGCTGCAGCAGCAACAACAGCAGCAGCAGCAGATGGATCAGCAGCTGCAGTTGCGACAGCAACAGCAGCAGCAGCGGCAGCAACAGCAGCAGCAGCAGCAAGCCAGCGGCGTTGCTACGCTGCAGCCAAAGAAATCGGTGAGTGGCGGATGCACTACAGCAGCAGCAGCAGCAGCAGCAAAGCAGCAGCAGCAGCAAAGCAGCAGCAGCAGCAAAGCAGAAGCAGCAGCAAAGCAGCAGCAGCTAATGTCAAATCAAGTTAACTTATTTGTTTGTCTTGTTCTTTTCAGAAGAGAAAGCGCTGCCGAATTATGTAAGCCACTTCAGCTGGCCAGCCCAGCTAGCTAGCTAGCTAACATTCCTTTTTCCTGGCTAGCTAGAAGCCTTGCTAGTCAGGCAGCTAGCTAGCCAGCTAGCTAGCTGGCTAGCTAGCTAGCTAGCTGCCTGCTCGCTGCCTAGCTGTTAGCCGAAGGCCTGGCTAGCTAGGCAGCTACCCAGGCAGCTGCCTGCCCCCACGGCCACGTGGCTAGCTAGCCAGGCTTCTGGCTAGCTAGCCAGGCCTCTGGCTAGCCATTCAGGTAGCTAGCTGGCAAGCTCTTGAGCTAGCCACAAAGCATTCTGGCTAGCTAGCCCTCGGGAGAGCTACACAGGGCTACCGAGGCACAAGCTACCTAGCTAGCTACCCGGCCGTAGGTCGCTAGCTAGCTAACTAGCTAGCTAGCCAGCTAGCTAGCTAGCCACTTTGCAAGCTCTCCAGCTAGCCGTTTAGCTAGCTAGCTAGCTAGCTAGCTAGCGACCTATGGTCGGGGCCCAGCCTGCCCTGCCGCCGCCGTGGGCGCGGCGACTGAAGAGTTTGCACTTATCATTTTACAGCTAGCTGTTCTCTAACAAGTGGCAGCTAGCTACCTAGCTAGCTAGCTGACTAGCTACCTAGCTAGCCATCTGGCTAGCTATCTAGTTAGCTGGCTAGCTACCCAGCTAGCTAGCTGGCTAGCTGCCTAGCGAGCTAGCTGGCTAGCTAGCTAGCTAGCTAGCTAGCTTGCTGGCTGGCTGGTTCTGCAGCTAGCTCTCTAGGCAGCTAGCTAGCTAGCCAGCCAAAGAGCCAGCTAGCGCGCTGGCGCCTCTAGTCTACAGCCAGTGCTTCCGACGCCGCAGCTCACTGCTGCTGCTGCTGCTGCTGCTGCTGCCAGTTGTTGCTGCGCTAGCTGCAGCAGCTGCAGCTCAGCAGTTTGGGAGCTCCTAGTTAGCCAGCACTATCTGCTGCTGCTGCTGCTGCTGCTGCTGCTGAAGGGGGGCCCCTCAAGTGGGCCCCAAAAATTAATTAAAGTAAAATTCTGCATTTGAGTTGGGGGCCCCCCTGTGCCCCTTGGGGCCCCTCGAAGCTTCAGGGGCTCAGGGGGCCCCCAAAGGGGATTAAAACTTCAAACTCAAGTGACCCTTTGTGGCCCCCTATGGGGGCCCCTAGGGGGCCCCTAGGGGGCCCCCTGTGAGGCCCCTATGGGGCCCCTATGGGGCCCCCTGTGAGGCCCCTGTGGGGCCCCTGTGGGGCCCCTGTGGGGCCCCCTGTGGGGCCCCTGTGGGGCCCCTGTGGGGCCCCTGTGGGGCCCCTAAGAAGTGGCCAGGGGGCCGCTGTGGGGCCCCCTAGAGAGCGTTTGGGGTCTCCTGGGGGGCGCTTGGGGGCCCCTGGGGGCCCCCTGTGGGGCTGCCGGTCTGCTGCTCCTGCTGCTCCTGCTGCTGCTGCTGCTCCTGCTGCTCCTGCTGCTGCTGCTGCTGCTGCTGCTGCTGCTGCTGCTGCTGCTGCTGGTTGGGGGTGCGGGGAGGAGCAGCAAGGGCGAGGGCGTGCTGCATGTCTTTGAGGGAAAGGGCGAGGGCGCGTTTGAGAGAATCTGCTGCTTGTTTTCTTTTTTTGAGCTGCTGCTGCAGCCGCTGCAGCACTTGCTGCTGCGCCTGCTGGTGGCGCAGCAGCAGCAGCAGGTGCAGCAAGTTGCGGTGCAGCCGCGCGACTTTGCGCAGCGAGTTGCTGCAGTCCGCAGCACCTGCTGCCAGCTCATTCAAAAAACGCATGCAAGCAGCAACATGAGCAGCAAAGAGCCGCTGCAGCTCGGCCTTGGGGGGGGCCCCTGGGGTGTACAGACAGCTGTCCGCTTCCAAAGACACCTCGGGGGGCCCCAAGGAGTAAACCACTCCGAAGGCTGACCAGTGGTCCTCGGGCATAGGGGGGGGGGGCCTGCAGAACTGCTGCTGCTGCTGCTGCTGCTGCTGCTGCTGCTGCTGCGCGGCGCCGGAGCCGCCGCCTTGCTGCTGCTGCTGCTGCTGCTGCTGCTCCAGGCACGCCGAGTGCATGCAGTCCACCCAGTAGTACGGCGGCGGCGGGAAGCCGCTGATGAAACCCTCCGAGTTCCCGGACTCCATCGCCCAAACCCTAAACCCTAAACCCTAAACCCTAAACCCTAGACTCGAACCACTCGAAAGGGGCCCCCCAGGGCCCCAGGATTCCCTAGACGCGCAGCAGAACTGCTGGCATCAGCAGCAAATCCAAAAAGTGAAAGTTTGTGGCCAGCCGCGGGAAGCGGCAGGCGCTGCGGCGTACGTACACTCCACAGCAGCAGCAGCAGCAGCAGCAGCAGCAGCAGCAGCAGCAGCAGCGGCGGCGCGAGCAACTCCAGTTGCATGCACAGAGGGCACCCGCGGCTGGAATATCTTTTCCAAATGTTTTATTTTATTTATTTTCACTTTTTAAATCCATTTAAACAAAACAGACAGCCGCAAAGGCTGCCTCAGCCGCGAAGCCCCGGGGGCCCCTCTGTGGGGCTCAGGGGGGCCCCCGGGGATTGGGGGCCCCCAAGTGGGTCTTGGGGGCCCCCGGGGCCCCCTTTTTCGGGACTTTTGGTTTGCTGCTGAGACTACTTTTGCTGCTGTTTGTTTGCGGCCATTTCGGTGCAAGACAGGAGGCTTGGGGCCCATGGCTAGCTGCTGCTGCGAGCTGCTGCAGCAAGAACTGGCTGGCTAGCTGGAGGCGCCCAGCTAGCTACAGGCAGCCAGCTAGCCAAAGCCAGCTAGCGAAGTAAAGGCAGCTAGCGAAATAGACGCAACTTGCTAGCGACAAGCAGCTAGCTAGATAAAAGCAGCTAGCTAGCTAGCTAGCTAGCTACCGTCAGCTAGCTAGCTAGGGGTAGCTAGCTAGCTACAGGCAGCTAGCTAGCTGCAGGCAAACAGACAGAGGCTCCTGGCCAGAGGGTGAGCGAGAGGGCTCCAAAGGCTTCGCATGCCAGCTAGCTAGCTGCTACCACGGCGGCTAGCTAGCTGCTAGCTGGCTGTTGAGTAGCCAAATAGCTAGCTAGACGAACTAGCTAGCCAGCTAGCTAGTCCTCGCCGCGTAGCTAGTGTGGCTAGCTAGCAGGCGTAGGGAGGGCTAGGTCGCTATTTGGCTAGCTGGAGGCCTTAGCGTGGCTAGCTGGCTATCTGGAGGCAGTAACATGGCTAGCTGGCTGGCTGGAGGCCTTAGCACGGTTAGCTGGCTAGCTGGCTAGCTGGCTAGCTAGAGGCCTTTGGGTTGGCTAGCTGGCTAGCTAGCCAGGCATGCAGCTGAGGGCAGCAGCAAAGCCCCACAAAGATAGACACAGGGCTTTTGGGGGGCCCCCAACTTTCCGGGGGCCCCCTTCTGGGGGCCCCCCCCTTTCTGGGGGCCCCCCTCTCTTCCTGTGGGGCCCCACACTCTCCTGAGGCTCTGGGGGCCCCCCTTTCTTCGAGGCCCCTCTGCCCTTCTGTGGGGGCCCCTCTTCTACGGGGGCCCCCTTCTAGAAAGAGGTGGGGGGCCCCCCTGGGGGGCCCCCTTCTCCTTCTGTGGGGGGCCCCTTGGGGGCCCCCTTCTCTTTCTGTGGGGGGCCCCCTTCGGGGCCCCCCTGAGGGCCCGCTTGTGGGCCCCCTTGGGGGCCCCCTTGGGGGCCCCTTTCTCTTTCTGTGGGGGCCCCCCTGTCCTGGGGGCCCCCCTCTTTTTGTGCTTTTTGCTGCTGCTCCCCACAGCAGCAAATGCTTTTGCTGCTCCGGACTGAGGTGTACAGACACCTCAAGCTTCTCCCCAGGAGCTGCGAGCGCCGCTAAACCCTAAACCCTAAACCCTAAACCCTAAACCCTAAACCCTAGCCCTAAACCCTAATTCTAAACCCGAATCCCTGAAGCTCGAACGTTCAGCACACTGACGCTGAACTCGCGGTGCTGCTTCAACGCTAAACCCCAAACCCTAAATGCTAAACTCCAAACCCTAAACCCTAAACCCTAAACCCTAAACCCTGTTGAGGGTTTGTTGTCTGCTGGCTCGAAGTCTTTATTTCTTTCAAACTGCTCTTTTGCTTTTCTTATTTTTCATTTGCTGCTTCAGCAGATACAACAAACCCTTACACTCTCCTTGAGTTGCCCCAAATGCGAAAACCAACTAAACCGCAGGACACTGCTGCTGCTGCTGCTGCTGCTGCTGCTGCTGCTGTGTCCGCCTGCAGCAGCAGCAGCAGCTGCTGCTGCCGCCGCTGGACTTGACATCACGGTGGCCCTACAGCGTCTGTACACGCAGCAGTAGCAGCAGCAGCCACCACTAAAAAAGCTGCTACTGTTGGAACAAATCAAGCTGCTGCAGCAGCAAAGCTTGCTCGTGCTGCAGCAAACAACGCTGCAGCGGCAGCAAGCCTTGCTGCTGCTGCAGCAAACAGCGCTGTAGCAGCAAACCTTGCTTCTGCTGCAGCTCAGCAGCGTACTCGCTTGCTGCAGCAGTGGCTCGTGCTGCAGCAGCACCAAGAAGGCTGTGCTGCTGCCTCTACAACTGCAGCGAATCCTGCTGCTGCTGCAGCGAATCATGCTGTAGTGAGGCACTCTAAAACGGCAGCAAGACGCACCAGTGCTGCTGCTGCAACGGATCTTGCTGCTGCTGCAAGGGATCGTGCTGCTGTTGGAACGGGTCTTGCTGCTGCTGCAGCGATTCTTGCGGATGCTGCAGCAAATCGTGCTGCTGCAGCGCCGGCGAATCATGCTGCTGCAGCAGTGACTCACGTTGCCGCTGCAGCGAATCGCGTGGTGGTGCTGCTTCTGCTGCTGCAGCAAATCATTCTGCTGCTGAAGCAAATCCTGCTGTTGCTGCTGAGGCTAGCCCAGTTGCTGCTGCAGCTGACGCGGAGAGGCCGGAGCGGGACTAGAAGCAGAAGCGCGTGCAGCAGCAGCTGCTGCTGCTGTTGCTGCTGCTGCGCACTACAGCATTGCCTTGAGGATTGAAAAATCGAACTTGGGTCTATCGGGTTTTTGCTGCTGCTGCTGCGGCTGCTGCTGCTGCGGCTGGGGGTCGCCCGCGCTGCTGCTGCTGCTGCTGCTGCTGCCGTGTCTGGGCACCATAAAAGGCTCCTCCGGGTCTCCCTCTTCTGCCCACCAGCCCTCTTTGTCTCCTTCTGCTGCTGCTGCTGCACTTGGGGACTGCAGCACAACTACAACAGCAGAAACGTTGTCCAGCGAGTACCGCCGCATGGCTACCTCAGTTAGCTGCTGGCTTGCTGCAGCAGCAGACACTCCCGCCCGCAGCTTCCCGCGCACCAAAGAGATGCACTCTTGCGAAGACAGCACGTCGAAGATTCCGTCGCAGCCCAGCAGCAAAAACTCGTCTTCTGCAGCAGCAAGCAGAGCCACACGGCCTCGCCCTCCAGCAGCAGCAGCAGCGGCAGCAGCAGCAGCAGCAGCGGCAGCGGCAGCAGCAGCAGCAGCAGCAGCAGCAGCAGCAGCAGCAGCAG